TACAAATAGTTCACACACCATCTGCCTACATGTTTCAAATCTTTACCTGCTTTTAAGTTCACTCATATCTCCTGACCACAACAAATCTCCAATCAGATAGCAAACAGAAACTGAAGTTATTTGAGACCACATCCATCCTCTGAGCCAGCAGGACAAGAGCCTGCCCCAAGCTAGAAGATGTTTTGCCACACTAGCCTGGTGACACCCAGTACAAAAAATAAAAATAAGCAGTATTTCCTGTGGCAGAACACCACATTCACACGGTTTTGTGGCACAAGGAATGCCCAGGGGGGATCTGGGGCCATGCTTTGTTGGACCCTTCTCAGCAAAACCACAGAATACAAGCAAACATTCCAGAGCTGATGAAAAATCATTGTCTTTCCAATAATTAACAGCACAGAACACTAAGAAGGATTGGTAAACACACTCTGGGTTTGATTTTTTTAAAATAAAAATAAGATAATAAATTAATAGGAAAAAACAAGATTTGGAAGAGTAATGCAAGCATGCATTAAAGATAGATATTAAATTTTTGTTTCCAAGGACAAATCCATTGGTATCAGCAAACCACAAGTGATCTGTACCAGGCAGGGCTAGAAATTTTCCACTGCTGTCCCAAGTTCTGGAGCATCCCTGAGTACCTGGGGTGTAACAAACCTGTAATCAGGAGAGCAAAGCCAGAGCAGCTGGCAGTGCTGCATCACAGGGAGCTTGCTGGGGAGCTGTTTGGGAGGCACAGGATTCCCAGGGCAGTGGGAATTTCGGGATACATTACACACGGAGCTGCTCTACCAGTCATGCTCTAAAAGATCTTACCCAATTTATTAAAACTAGGAGACTGCTGGAACAAACAAAAAACCCCGAGGCATATTGTAGCAATTGGCACAGAATTTTCAAACACTTGATCAATTCTAGTCCTGACCTCCACAGTCAGAAGTGAAAATAACATTCCCAGTTTTCTCGGGAGTAAAACGTCCAGTGTTACTACAACAAAAATTAAAATATTAAACCATGTAAATATTATGAAGTTAATGTCTTCCTCTGATGACAAGAGGAAGAAACATCTTCAGGCAATGGTTACAAATGTGACATTGACCCAGGAATCATCAATTAAATTAGAAAACTACTGCAATTGATTGAGAACACTTGGACTGCACTTACACAGAAAAATCTCATAGGATAAAATATCTTCTCATCAGAAAGGACAAGCTTTTGGAAAGACAGTTTATTTTTAACAGAAACTTGGTGAATTATCAGGCTTTTGAAAAGATGATTTATTCTAAACAGAAACTTTGTGAATTTTTCACTTCATTGATCAAATGTATCAGGAAAAAAAATGCAGTTATTGATTTATTGGCAGGTCCTGGAGACAACAGAAACTTTGTGAATTTTTCACTTCATTGATCAAATGTATCAGGAAAAAAAATGCAGTTATTATTGATTTATTGGCAGGTCCTGGAGAGCAGTAAAAGTATTATTTTTGTATCTTCCAGACCAGGAAGATTCACAGCTTGAAAAAGCAACCTTCTGTCCCAGAACAAGTAATAGATCAAATATGAGAAGAGCAATATGTTTTTGTCATCAGAACTTGCTGCAATGCTATATTCAGGCATCTGAAGCATTTTTCAGCACTGCAGAGCATATTAAGAGATTAATTCATGTCACTACACACTGTATGACATTCCAGGGTAAGTAATTTGCAGGAGACACCAAGTTTCCGACTTTTTTTGCACAAAGTTAGCAAACTGAGCTTGTAGTAGGGACTACAACGAGTCAGAAATGTTCTGGATTTTGGCAGGAAATGCCAATCCAGTGAAACCAAAGTGATTAAAGGGCCATTTGTTCTCTAGCATTATGGACCATGGCTAGAACAGGGGGTGAGAGATCCTCCCCAAGGTTGGGGTCATGCCCCTCTCCCCTCTGTGCTTCAGGGCCCAGGAGGACTCACAGGAGGCAGTGCCGGTGTTTCTCTGCTCCAGGTGCTCCCTGGACTGCAAGAACAAGAATTCCTGGATCTCTGTGCACTGGTGTCATGGTTTAACCCCATTCTGAAACTCAGCCCCACACTGCCATTTGCTCAATCCCACACCAGAGAATGAGAAGAGTGAGAAAACATAACAAATCAGAAAATCAAACCTGCTATTCTACAGTGGTCCATCTTGTCATACCTGTGAGTTTACCAGGAGCTGCATCAAAACTCTGGGGCAAATACAGTGGATGGAGAATTCATACTTCAGAGGATTTTATCTATGCTAAATACAGTGTGCATCTGCTTGGAAGGGGATATATTTCTCCTTGATTTACCCATGTTAGTTAAATGTCACTGATATCTTTGGCTGCCAGAAGTGGTAAATAAATGTGATAAAGAACATGTACAGCCCAGTGAAATGTAGCCTCATTGCAATGAATCAAGGGAAATATTATGAAAAATGTTTGTGATCAAGCCAAGGATATCAACCCATTACATTTTAGTAAATGCTGTTATTTTACATATTGGCACCATTTTATTCATATTATATCATATTACTGATGATTTTTGCCACAACAGGTTTTCCTTCATGTAATATTACAGGTTTCCCAGGTATTTGATCTCTGACATTTTTTGTATTTGAAAATTTCCATTTGCTTTGGATAACAGAAATAGAGCCAAGTTAACCTGGGCAAAACTTGGCAAAAAGCAGAAACTATTATTGTCAAGTCCAGGTAATCCACATCTGAAAGCTGCTAATCAAAACTGCACTTGTACAGCAAAAATACTGACTGCTCTTCCTATTACCTTGCAAAAATAAATAGATTCATAGCTCTGCTGAGACCTTTGCTCATTAATTCCTGTGAGAGTTAAATTTGATAACTGAATGTTCTAGTCATACATTATTTTGCCATGTTATAAAATTCTCAAGTGAATTAATCTAATAATGAAAAAATCCTGACCAATAGAAGTTAAAAGGAAAAGCCATGTTTCACAATCCTGTAGAAAACTAGTAAATAATTTTTTTAAATCCGCTTGTGAAAAGGCTGCAGGCAAAATATTTGTCCCTTGTTCACCCTCCCAAGTCTAAAAGCTTCCATGTACTTACATTAGACATTCTAATATTCAAAGCATACCCAAAGACATATTCAAAGCAAATGGAGAATAAGTATTTCTTATAAAGATCTTATATCTGGGATTGAAAAGGGCTGAGCCCTAAATTAAAATACCACAGACAGCTGGTTAAAGAACATCTCCTGAAGGTCTGAGGCAACAAATTCCTGAGTCTCCCTTGCATCACCAGGATTCTGTCTCAGGCAGGAGCACAAATTAGCCAGGATCACCCAACCTCTCCAGGAAATCTGGCCATGGGAAAGCAAGGGTGGGACTGCTGCTCCTGAAACCACAAATGCATTGTCCAGGGCTGACCCAGAAGTGCAAGTGAACTCCTGAAGGAGAAAACTTTGTGATGGAGACATCAAGACTCACCTGAAAAGTTTTTCTGGCAGAAAAAAAAAAAATTTTATTTATTTATTTATTTAGCTCAGAGATTGCATGTATAAAATATTACAAGCAGGATTCTACAGGCAAAAAAAAAAATTGGAATCAGAAGAGAAACAATTTTGTGCCACTGACTTCTTTCTCATCTTAAAAGAAAAACCTCCTTCTGCAGAGTTAATGAATGGAGAATCAGGTGACAGTTGTTCTGCATATGGCTCTACAACATGACCTTTCTGAAGCCATGTAGCTCCAAGACACTCTTTTAATTGAACTAAAACAATGTGTGTTCCTGATTAAGAATAAAAAATCAAGAGGTTGTTAAATTCAGTATCCAAATGTGAAGAAAAAAAAAGTCAAAACATGATCAGAGCATCTTTTTCTGTCTTGTAACAGCACTTGCGGTTCAGCAGGCTTTTCTGATCAACTGTTTCCTCCTTTAGAAAAGTCCACACTTTTTTAATTGCATGGCATATAAGATAAAAGAAAGTAACAATGTATGTGTTTGGAACAAGCTGAAAAGCATGAGTCAAGGTTTCTCTGAGACAGAAATCAATCTTCTGTAAGTCAAGCATCACACCTTGTTTGATCAGACAGGGTCTTCCTTTGATGGTAAGAATCACCAGTGCCAGAATATCGATGTACACACAATCACTCTCAGTGATGAGGTTCCCTGTTAAACACAATCCTCGAACTTCTGTGGGTGGCACCTCACCAAATTCCCCACCAATTAAATAGAAATAGTCCATCCATTAAAATGCCACAAATCTCTGGAGACGGGGAAGGCACCTTTGAGGCTGTACCACTACACCATTGCCCCAGTTTTAGACTCTTTCCCAAACATCTTTTTTTGTCTGCCATCAAATAAACATGGAATATTGGGCTAGACCAACCTTCAGCTCAATTTTGTGTGGTCAATTCTTATGTGATTAAATAAAACCTATTTTTTAAGTCTTAATCCATACACTATTTAATGTACATGAAACCAAAAAACCTCCTCTTTGATGTGCATTAGAGACATTTGAAGATCCCTTCCAACCGAACTATTCCATGATTCTGTGACACTGCAGGTGCAGAGTGGAACCCACACAGAATATACAACAGGCTGCAGTGAAGTGGAAACTGGCCCATCCCCAGGCAGCTGCTTGCTAGCTGGCAGCACAGGCAGCCAGTGCCACACAGGAGGGGTCTGGAGAGAGCAGGAGGAGGAGCAGGGATGATCAGCACGATCCCATGGCTCGAGCACCTCACAGGAGATGGTCTGTGCAAAGAGGAGCAGCATCCTGGCAGACAGAGGGCAGGGAACTCCTGCTGGACACCACAGTGGGCACAACAGCGAGTTATGCACTGTTTACTTCTTCTCACTTCCACCACTGGGGCCCATCCCCAGGCAGCTGCTTGCTAGCTGGCAGCACAGGCAGCCAGTGCCACACAGGAGGGGTCTGGAGAGAGCAGGAGGAGGAGCAGGGATGATCAGCACGATCCCATGGCTCGAGCACCTCACAGGAGATGGTCTGTGCAAAGAGGAGCAGCATCCTGGCAGACAGAGGGCAGGGAACTCCTGCTGGACACCACAGTGGGCACAACAGTGAGTTATGCACTGTTTACTTCTCACTTCCACCACTGGCTTCCCATCAGCATCCTCTAAGGCATAAAAATGAGAAGTCTGAATCATGCCTTGGTCAGTTTTCATTGGATTTGTCAGTGAAATGGGGCTTTTACACACACAGGGGGCTCAGTTCTCTCTTACAGATCAGTTCCTGGGAATACAAAGCAGCACAGAATCATCTTTTCCTCGACCACTTATGCCCATGAAGAAGAGCTATTGCTCTGGCACCCAGACTGAGCTGCAAGCTGTTCCTTGCTTGTGACAATGCCCCATGTTGTGTTCTCAAGCAGAGCCACGTGGAAAACAAGGGCAGGAATTTTTCTTCTGATGTTCTAGATTGAGCCCCACAAGATGAAGGAAGAACTTTAATTTACATATATCAAGAGCTACCACAAAACCAACAGAAGTATCTTAGAAACTAGGCAACCTATTAAAACTATATATAAACACCACTTATATATAGATTTAAGAGCCCAGCTTTATCACCCACCTTAAAAGTGCTGGCTTCTCATCAAATCAGTAACTGTTCTTCAGCAGAAGCAGAGACAGATTGGATGAAACATGTTGTGATTTGCTATGCTCTGTAAATATAAATTAAAAAGGTATAAAAAATGTGCTTATGAAAAATACATAGCCAAAAAAAGAGGAAGAAACGTACACATAAACAAAACAAGTGAGCTATAAATGCAAATGATGCTGCAGAATTTAGGACATTATATAAAATAAATAGATTTAACCATTTATATGGGATACTAAGAAAAACCTCACATTCTATTGTTGACAGATGAAGAGGATTTAATTAACAGCAGGGGAAGAGTGGAGGGCAAATTATCACCAGTTTGATGAGAAAAAATTATTTTTAGTCAAAACATTTAAAACTTTGAAGAGTGTAAATTCTCCTGCTTCAAGTCTTTATTCAGCTTCTCACAGATGGAAGGAGGAAACAAAATGCTCTGGGGGAAGTTCTTCTTTTCTTGCTCTAGCAATGCTTCTCATGTTCTTCCTTCAAAAACTGGTCCTGTCTGTTACTGGAGAGAGCATGCAGAGATAAGGGAACTTTGCTTTTACCTCACGTGACAACTCCTAGGTCATAAAATCCTAAAAATGAGAAATCCTGAGCCCTACAGAATCTTTGTATCCTCGAGTGTAGGAATCCAAATGCAACAGGAAGAATTAACAAAAGTCTTTTTTATTGATTTCTGTGGACATTACATGGGACCCCTGAGACCTCAGCACAAATGAGAAGTGTAAAATGTATTCACAGTCCTGTCAAAACCTGAAGACTAATGACCTAATATGAAGTCATTAAGTTGGTGATACAAAGATATCCATCAAAATTTTATTCAGAGGTGTGAACACTTCAAGTGACATCAGGGTAATATGAGCCTGTAAGGCTGTAAAAGGATGTTTCCTTTTTCTTTTCAATTCCAGTTGTACATTGTCATCCTCTACAGGCAAGTTATGATGATGGGGAGGAAATTCAATTCACAACTGAGAAAAATGTGTAAATTCACTGGAAAGTGAACCAGAGGGAAAATTCTGCAGGAGCCTCAGCCACAGCTGCTGGCCCATGGTGCCACTGCTCTGCTCTCAGGGTCCCACAGAAAGTCCAGAGGATGGGGTAAAAACCAGTGAGTAGGGGGAAAATCTGTCTGTAAAATTTCAGATGGCATAAAAACAAAAACATACAAGAGTGGCCTGAAACAGGCTTTAGAGTAAGTGTATGAAACCATTCATTCTACAAAATGACTTTGCTGTCCTTTAGTTTGGGGCATTTTTGTTGAAGTCACTTTGTAGCAAACAGATATCAGTAATCTCACTTTAGTTTGGACTTTCTGCCCAATGGTAAAACCACATAAAAAGAATTTACAATTATAACAAAATTCCCCTTATTACATTGCTTTAACATAGTATTTGAACTCCAACCTTGTTTTTATAGCACAATTCATTAACTCTCATGAAGTTCCTGGTGAAAATCTATTTTCACCCTTGAATTTTCCAGAACTCATTTAAAAAATTTGAACTTACCACCTTAGAACTAAAACCAGAATGATTACACTAAGATATACACAGAAACCTTCCCAGATATTCAGATTTCTCTGTACCTGCTCATCTACCAGTGCAGAGACCTCCAGGTCTGATCTAGACATCATTTTAACTCCTATTGCATTGTGGAGATTTCATGGTGTTATGCTGACACCTGACCTGAAATTACACCACAGAAACACTCAAACTCAGATGCGCTCAAGGAAAAAAAATCACAAGTCAATCATTTTAAAGTTCTAGACAGTTTTTTCTTCAAAAACCTGCACTGTAGCATGACTAAGATAGCTGAGATGTTTGGGTATATTCTGTAATAATTCCTGTATATGCTTTCTTATCCTCCACCATGGGATGTTTGTTAGAAGAGTTTGCCTCAACAGAGCTCCATGTGACAAAGCAAGGAGGAAAAAATCAGGTTCAAGTTAAACCAGTCCTTAACAATTAATTTTTAATGACTACTGCCAGGATCATAATTTAAAAAAAAAAAAAAAAAGAAAAACTTTCCGAGTTTGATTTAAGCTCAGAAACAGGAACAAATAAAATTTATTGCCAGATTTTAAGGGATTTTTTTTATGATCAAGAAAAATTTGGCAGTAGTGTGAGAAAAGATGAAACTGGCACAGAATTGCAGTGTGAGTATCTAAGAACCTCAGTTTGCAAGGGATCATCAGGCAAGGTTTCAGAAACAAAATCGTCGTATGTTGCTCATAATTCTTAAAAGGTAATGAAAAATCTACAATATCTTGTATTTATGGCTTTTGAGAGGATCAGATATTCTCTACTGGTCAAAATCTTTTCAAAATTTATAAAGAGAGGAGGCAAGATTTGGCTACAACATGGGCTATCAATGTCCTTGGTTCACACTAATGCTATTTTTTTATTTTTGTCTGTAAGGAAAAAGGCACAAGGACTAAACCTGGGGACCAAACACTGAGACAGAGGAAAAATTAGAGGAAAATGTAATTTTGTCTGCAACACTGGGACTCAAACAGCAGTTCCAAAGTCTGAAGGCAACACACAAAGTCTTTGAGAACTGATTTTTACCCCCATCAGGAGCAGAGTCAATAGCAATGAATCCTCTCTCTGAACAGGGAAGACACGCAGGTTTTCAGAAACTGTTTTGGGCTCTCATGGAAACTAACAGAATATTTTCTTTTCAACCAAACTTCACAAAGTGGGGACAGCTGGCAGTGCTCCCTTTTGTGAAACTGGATTAAGTTAAAAGCAGGTTTTGCAGACACTGCTGTAGTTCTTCAATGTTTAAACTACTTCATATATAAAAGTCAGTGGAAGCTCTTGCTTTCCTGTGAAATATTGCTCCAGAGAACATGACTGCATGTGTCAGTGGTTCCCTCCTGTTTCCAGGACTGAATAAACTATTAAAGTTTCAGTGCTGGCATAAAAGCTCTCTGAAAACATTTTTATCGCTCAACATGTAGAACAATTCCCCTGAGGAGCCCAATTACAACTCACTAAGTTAAGCCAAAGCCCAGCAACAAGGTGTTCACTTAAAATATCAAAAATAAGTTTTGCTCAGTAAACAAAGTGCAGTTGTGGACTGGCTCTGTTTCTGCTGTTTCCAAGTTACAGAAACAGGTTCAGCAGCAGCAGTTCTGTCACACAGTCAGTCACAGCACTCAGAAAGGCTTCTGACTCTCTGATGTGATTCAAACAAGTTCAGTGACAGCTGAAGTCTCTGACAGATCTTCTCCCAGATTAGGGTGAATGAATCTTGCAGCTGCTTTAATGGCTGGTTCTGCATTCAGATTTTTCAATAGGCTCTATCACAGATCCCAACACGTTCATTCTTACCCAAAGAAACAATGAGTTTGTATCTCAGCTGTAAACTGAGACCAAATCTACTCAATATTGTGTAAAAATGGATTAAGTGAGGTCAGAATTAAACTATTAACATCTGTAAGACAGGCAAAAAGCAAAAACAAAATAAATGTTGTCTGTATAAAAGAAAAAGTTGATAATGAAAAAAATGAAGTAATTCTTTCCATTAAAAAAACTCAGTAGGAGATCTAAATGTATCATCTAGACAGCTGTACTGTTCTGTAAAACAGATTCTCATGATGACAAGAAAAGCCTGACAATAATTCTCTATTTTAGACAGGAATAACAATTCTTTTGTTCCAGTTGCTCTTCATCTGATGCCTTTTAAATAGGGAACAGTAATTCCAGTTTTCAGGGGAAGCCAAAAGACATTTACCTGTATTTCATCTCCTAATCAAAGCTGGCCAGTTTGCAGTGCAATTTGTATTTGAATCTCATTTGCCTCTGTGAAGATACTTCACATGCATTTAGTTTCAGATATTGTGTATTACTAAAAACCAAACAAAGCAGAATCATATTCTGCTTCCTTCAAAGTAAATGCAATCTCTTGTTTTGATTTTGGAGATAACAGCATTGGTGTCTGAATGCAGACAGGAGGTATTAACAACAAAAAAATCACTTTGGCTCCCTAAGGCACAGGGAGACACCACACAGACTTTTAAAGCCATTGACTGCTCTGACAAACCTACAGAAAAGCTCTAGAAAGAGTTTCAGAAGTGAAAAAAAACCCAACCCAAACCAGGCAAACATCAGTGCACCCCCTCAGCCCTATCACAGAAGGAATGAACAAACACTTCTCTCTTGCACTTTGCTCAAAAAATGTGGGATGTGGTGAAACCAAATGTGATTTTCCTTGCACCCATTACAGCCTGCCACTTCTAGCAAATCTTCATCTCACCTGAATTCCCTGATGTAAAACTCTAAGTGGTATCACTTATCTGCTTCTCAATCATCACATTTTTAATAACCCACTAGGTATACTCACTATCACAACCAAGTATTTCCTTAAATACTTTACCTTCTTGCACATAATAGAAAAGATCTGTTTCTTTACCCACTAGAGTATACAAAACACTTTTACAAACACTTTTGGATGATTATGCTTAAGGATTGTTTTGGGATAAACTAGAAGAAAATGAGGTTGGAACACTGCTTACTATAACTCTATCTTTGACCACAGAGGTTTCTCCTCCATAACTACACAAATACTTGACCACCAAGAGGGATTACTCATTCAAACCCAGAAGCACCTACACTGGCTTTACAACAGGGGCTGAATTCAAGTATTTCTTTCTCTTCACTTCAAATTTCACTGACATAATTCAGCTGAAGATAAACAAGTAGTAAACATTATGTGGCAAAATACCATATATGTGCTATTCATTAAGCAATTTTATTTTTTTTTAGTTCAGTGATGTTGTCTATAGCACAGCAGACCAAATCTAAGCAGTTCTGGCAGTAATCTTCACTAGTCCACAGAAGTTTGTATATTACCACCAGCACCACAGTAATTTCAGTCATGAGGAAAGCCATGAAAAGCAGGTGGCTAATCAGAAAATTCTATTAAATTATTTGGCCATTTCTATCTAGTCCTGGGTGGATAATCATGCTTGTCAAAAAAGCTGCCAGTATGGCTGAGCATCAAGTTGGCAGGCTGGACCAATTAAGGAATAAGTAGATGAAGACACAAGAGACATCT